CAAACTTTTTGTGTATTGTAATGTAGTATTTGTTTTGGTTGAAGTTGTCTTTTTCTAATAATTGTACGGGAAAAAGTTATAAATTATTTTTCTATATTTTTTTTATGAATAAAATTATAAACAATTCACGTATATATTTTCTAGATATTAATATATCTAAAACAATTTATATTATCAGTCTATAATATACCATAAATGGTGTAATAATTATTTGAGCAGTGTAATTTTGAAATTAGCCATGCTAAATGTCATATAAGACAAAGACACAATATATGGTTTACAACATTTTTCATTTATATTTTTCATTTAGTATATAAATTAGTTAATATGTTTGAATTAGTTGAATTACAAATTTATTTAATTAATTGTTAAAAACTTTTGAAATTTAAATATAAGTATGGTTTGAAATATGCAACACAATGTTCTTGGACGAAAAATGTTGGTAGAAAGACAAATGTGAGAAGACGGACAAAAACAAAAAAAGGTGAATTGATTTCTTTAATAAAAGTTGTCTCTTTTAAAATAAAATAAAAATAGTTTCTTTTAGAAAAACAACAAAGTTAACATAAAAGCTTGCACAAATAATTTTATACTGATTCATCTGTTTAAGATTAATCTTTCTAAAAATAGTGATTAACTAATAACTAAGAAATAATTAGAAGTTACACATGAATGAATATGATAAAGGTTAGAATTTTCTTCTTTCGAACACACAAGAAATAACTATCACTTATTTGTGACATACAAAAGGATGAAGAGCTTAATCCTTATAACGGGAGATTGTGCATTCACTTAGACACATTAATGGAAACACTTCCTTCTACCAACACAAGTTCACACTTAAAACACATAGAGTTATTTAGTAAAAACACAAAAACTTCTCTTAAAGATTAGGTTAAATATTTATAAACACAAATTTTGAAAATTAGGTTAAAAACTGAGGAGTCCATTTTGCAACTATCATTAATAATCGATTATATTGGATAATTGATTATTGGTCTTTTTCAAAAATTATTTTTTTTGGGATAATAGATTATTAAATAGAGATTTTTAGAATAATAAAATTTTTTTTTGAATGTTCTACTATTTGGATTCTGTCTATTGACTCTTTGTCTACTAATTTTAAATAAAATATACATATTACAATATTTCAACAACTAAATTCTTAAATCTTCCATCAATCCAAGCATTTTTAATACAACTTATCTCATATTAACATAAGTATTTATTACAAGATATGAACCAAAATATTTCTTCCCTTTTTTATCATAATAAAATAGTAAATCATATACATATGTTATCCTACATTGGTTAATTCAGTTACAACTTAGCCCCTCTCATTCATTAAAAGTTTACTCCCATGAATGTAATATTCCTCTTTAAAATAAAGCTGAGTCTTAAGATTTTTTTTGTCTAATAATCAATTATCATTTGGGATAATCAATTATTCAAGAGACAAATTTGTACTAGAGTCAAAATGAAACATTCTAAGACCTTGATATTATATTATCACCTTTGATAATTGATATTTCCGTAAGTTTAAAAAAACAAATTTTAAGTATTCTTAATCATTTAAAACACGTCTAATATTCCTAAAACTTTTCAAAGCTCATAAAATTTATCAAGATATCATACAACTTTTTTTTATTTTTGAATTTTAACTTATAAGACAAAACAACATAATTTTGGTTTCCAAAATCTTATTTGCGTCCTTCAAAGTTATAAGAGGAATCAAAACATATTTTCCATTAGAAACATAAAAAAAATGTTTTATTTTACATTTATTTGAAGTGTGTCCATTTTTCATATAATAAAAATATTTAAGTTCCTATAATAAGTTGTTCTTTTTTAACATATACCTACGTTTCTGTTACTCTCATTCTTATGATTAGGAGCTTACTTGTTTTTATGAAAAAAAATTTCTTAAAAAATTGTTTTTCAACATTTTTAACTTTTAAACCATTTGCAATTGTTTTTTCAAAATTAACAATTTTTAATTCATGCTTATGACCCGCGGATTTAATATAAATATACGATTAAATTAATATTCTTTATTAAAATAAGAAATATTTTTTACGATTACCAGTTAGAGCATGATGTGGTTGAGTAATGGTATAGTGAACAAGTTCTAGTGACATGGATGCAAGTCATGTATTATGTAAGGTAGCATAAAAATATAGGGTTTCAGGCATTTGGAAACCATCATGCAAATGACAACAATATATGGATGTATGTTATGGAAAAGTGGGCTGAAGATGCAAATGTGGATGCATGTTATGCGTTCTATAAGATGTTATTTACATGAAAACTAAGAACATGTTACTATGCAAGAATAAAAATAGAATATAAATGCAATGCATATTTGTGCTCCAAAGGACACTTACTCACATGCTTATGTATATATGATGAATTAGAAAGTAACTCCATGATGTCATGAATAATGAAAAGATTAAAGGCTTAATACCATTGTTGGTCTTAATTTTTGTCAACTTTTTTCGAAATGGTTCTCATTTTTTTAGAATGTTCAATGTAGACCCTTATATCATAATTTATGTTCAATTTAGTCCTTTTGGCAATCAACGTTTAAATCGTTAATAGCACAGTGTCAAAGTCAGCAATCAGTAAATAATGTAACCTATTTAATCTGATGTGGTTGTCTCTCGTCATCTTCATGTTGGCCACTTCATCATCTTCCATTTTCAACCTCAGGCATAACATTTGCATTTATGATTTTAATTTTTCAATGGGGGCATTTTATTAGAGAACCCAGATAAGGGTCAAGACTTTGTTCTTTTAGAATCTGGGAACCCAGTCTCAAGGTCACGCAAGAGAGATTCTTCCCCAATCTCTTCTTTTCTCCATTTACCGTAAGTAAAACCCAGAAGCTTGAAGCTTCTTTCCCTTTCTTTCTCGCGGTGAATTGGTCTTGGGCGCCATTTTCTCTCGTGCAAAGTTCTCGCCTAGGGAGGGTTTTCTTCTGATTCAAGTTCGCGTGGAGGTAGGGGAACCAATTCTTCTCTTCTCTGCTTCAGTCTCACGCATCAACCCTATTTGTAGAGGGTTCTCTTTCGCACAGAGGAATTTTGGTTTTCTTTTTAGGGTTTTACTGATCTTGTTTGCGAAATTGGAAATGAGGATTTAGGGTTTTTCGGTTGGGAGATTTTATGTTTTTAATCATTCAGCGTTTGCGATTGAGGTTGATGGCTATGTTTTGGGGTTGTATATGGGATTGAGAGTTATGTTCTTTATCTGTGAATTGATTTTTTTTCTGGTTGCATGAGTGGTGACAAGGGAGGCACAGATGGAGGTGGCCGGGAGTCATCAGAAAATAAGTTTCAAAAAATATAAATTCACCTCACTATGCCTTAAAGTGTCCACATCAACCAATAAATGACATGTCATTGAATGATTGCTCAGTTGGACATTTAGTCGTTAACGATTTAAATGTCGTTTGTCAAATGGACTAAATTGAACATAAATTACGATATAAGGGACTACATTGAACATTCTAAAAAAATGAGAACCATTTCGAACAAAGTTGACAAAATTTGGGTCCAACAATGGTATTAAGCAAGATTAAAAGAAAGATAAAAAAATACTTATTTTTTGTCTATGGACTTTTATGTGATAACTCCATAGGTAGCTTTGAATAATCTCATATGCCTTTGGAATTAATGTTAATCTCTTAACATAATATACAATCATAAACGATCTAATAAATTTGGCATATCAAGAAAAAGAAAACTTTAGATGAGGTTTTCACAATAGTCAAGTAGATATGAGATATAACATAACAATTATTGAACCTTCACTCCCTAAAGCTCACTTAGACCTCGATATAGGATCACAATCTTAAAATGAATGCACTAACATAACATGTGTAGTGTTTGAAGGGATCAACCTAAGACTATCCAAACTCACACTTGCAAAACGGCCAAAAAATTCTCAGACATATATAACAATTGTCATCTACCCTAAGGTTCCAAAATTCAACAATATATCATATCAAGACATAAAAGGAAATATATTTGGCATAAAGACAAACAGAAATAGATATATGTGAAAGAAAATATAAGAACATAGGTGAAACAAATATTTAAAAGCAACATATATTTTACATACTCAACTAACAAAATCGAGTTCCAAACAAAATCCTTAGCAAAGTTATTATCTATTTCAATTGAAATTGTGACGAGATAGTGAACAAAAAAACATACAAAAATATAATAGAATCACCACTATAGTTTATTAAGAAAAATTATGTAAAAATCTAAAATAAAAAATGATATGTGAAAGTGAATCAAGTACATAAGTCAATTATATGAGGAGAAGGTATTACCACCTTACGTATCCATCTTAAGACGAATTCATTCATTCACGTATGCAAAACTAAAGTCATTTTTTATTTTTTTTTTCAAAAATTAAATAAAACGTGAAAATTAGTTCATCTTACAAAGGAACATAACGGTTCAAATTAAAGAAACAAGTGAACATGGTTTTTAAATGGACAAATCAAAAAAAAGGAGGAAGGGGTCAATTTCGTCTAAATTGTTCGTCAAATTTCAAGCCAGTTTGGTTAATTTTATGGGACAGATGTGGGTGTCTCTATTTGGATGCCACGCAACTACCAACCTTGTCTTTCTAACATTGTCACATGACACCAACTAACACGATGACTAATTTGATTTATGGTTACAACATTAACGACTATTTTTCTATTTTGTCAGTGTCAAAGATCAAATTAACCAATAAATTATTGGGCCAAATTGATGATTCCGTTAAAATAAAAAAAAACTAAGTTAAATCACCAACCAGAAAAATCACAAAACTTCTAATTCTAAAGGAAATCACCTTACCTAATCCAAACAACTTTAAAGTTCATACAATGACATCAATTTTGAGTCGGAGTTTTATTTTCGTGTAATAGAGATCAAGGTTGGTTATTGAAGTTAGAGTATAATTTTGATTGGGAGATTATAAGATAAGTAACTGCACTAGAGTTTTATCTCAATAGTTTTGGCATATACAATTCTTAGTGAAATTATTGTATCAATGATAGCAACAAACAAGTTTGCCAGTGAAATGGCTCTTCAGTCAATCACCAAATTCAATATACAACAATTACAAAGCAACAGATTTTTAGAAAAACAAAAATGAAATTCAAAGCTTCCAATATATGCCCAATCGGTGCAAAATGCCTGCAACAATGGCCCAAAATAGGATCTCCGCAAAGATAACATACAGCAGGATTCCTACTCTCTTCGAATGCCAAACATTAATGAAGACATGTTTTTGTATCCAATAAGTCTGTCGAAAAAGTAACAACCTCGTCAAATTCGAATATAAGAAAGAAAATTACAGAAACTAAAAAATAAATGGAGGTTTAACTAATAGAGATTATGAGATGAATTTACCAGTGTACTATGAGGGTCATCATAATACCACCCATTAATGAATCCTGCGAAGATTCCTTCAGCTGCCATGACATAAACAAGCATGGCATTCATACCAATCCATTTCAAAGGCAAGAACAACAATGTCAAACCCCAAATATCAACCTGCAATGCTAAATCCGTTTTAGATGAGAAATGTGGAACATTAATCACAGAGGCACACCTGAACTGAAAAACAAAACTAGAAGACCTTGACAGAAGAAAGTCACAGTTTCTAGTATTACGAAACAAATACCACAATGTAGAAGGCTGAAAAAACTAATGCTGCCGCTCCAGATGTTACACAAACATAGCTTAATGTGTACAACTGTTTATTCAAAGGAATGGCTGCAACAAATGGAATAAACGATGTTAGAGTAATGGTTACATGATAAGTTTTAGCCAACACTGAGTTAAGAGTTCACACCATGAGTGAAGTGAAGAATAAGTCCAAAAGCAAGGAGTGATAAGCCAAGGAGAAGCCAGTGCTTCAACCTAGAAGAGTGATCCTAAAGTCACAAAAAGTGAAGGAGTAAACATAGGTTAAAGGATTGTAATTTTCAAACACTGTTTACTTCGAGGGAAAAGGCTTCACCTGTAAGTGTACGAGTACATGTCCAAAATGCAATCCAATAATTGTGGAGAGAATAGCAGATATTGAGCTGCAGTTACACATACGAAGGTGAATTCATAATCTTACGCAGTCCTCAAAAGGGTCACTGAGAATTTCAAAATTGTGAGAAAAAATAAAGTGGCTTGCGCTAACCAAGCTACTCAAGTTGAACAAAGGAAGAGTGAACATGGTATTGGAGTATTGGAAGTTCCACGTCAACTAGAGATAAAATCAATTTAAAATATATAAGTGGGTGCAAACCTTACTTTACAAGTCGGTTTTGTAGAGTTGAGTTAGACTTAAAATTCACTTCTTAACATGGTATCAAAACCAGTTAAAGTTTATCTTAATGACAGTTGTATGGACATTATTTCACCCGCTATCGGATTGAATTAAGCTTAAAGTTCACTTCTTAAGACACGGAAGTTCTCGACTCTTTCTTACTAACAATGAAGGAGACATTTTTAATTATTTGATCACATACAACAATATCATCTATTTCAAATAAAACAAAGCCAACGTGGTCAAGAACCGATTGAAGTTGCTAATAGCATGTTTGTGAGTTCAGCTATTCAAACATAGACTAAGAGGATTTGGAGACCATATACAGACCTTAAAATTCCTTCTGGCTCAAAAGGAGCATAACACCATGAAGGTGCACTTCTTTTAAAAGGTCCTTCATATGGGGAATTCTCTGTGCAAGCCTGCAACACTCAGAAGGCAATCAGTGTGTGAAAATTCTTACAGCCATAAAACAAGTCTTTCAAATTTAGAGTAGAAAATAGCAACACACTTCAGATCTTCTCCACGCTGGACGCTTATACATGTGGTTAATTCCAAGCACCTCTCGGTCAATATATCCCACAACATTACAAGGGGGATCGAGTTTGCCCCTCACACCACAGGTCACCTAAAATTGACCAGAGAAAACAAATTAGCCAGACTAGAGAAAAATTTAGAAGAATAATGATACTTTGACAACATTTTTTTGATAACATTTTAACATCGTCTATGTGTCATTATGTGATTGGTCCAAAATTACTCCACAATCAATAATAATAATCATAAACATCAATATGGACCAATAGGAAAATGACACGTAAATGGTGTTAAAATGTTGTGAATGTTTTCAAATACTGTTATCCAATTTAGAAATACGGTATGTACCAGATAAGATACTGATATGAACACTAGACACAATATTATATGGACACTTCAACACGTAGTACACTAGCACTGATACTGACACGAAGACTGAACACAGCACCGATATAGACACTTCAACAGCTATAGTCTCTAAAATATAAGACACAGGAACACAAATCTATATATTAGATCATTATGTATTTTTATAGTCAAAATCATCTATAAATAAGATTAGTCAAATATAATAATCTAAATATATTGTAGGTTAATACAAAAATAATCTAATTTATTTATCTAATATTTAACAAGAAAAAAAGTTATGATCATATATAAGATTTGTTCCTTATTTCTATAATTATAATATAAACTTATGTAATAAGTTTACAAGTTTATTTGTTTGTGATTATTAACATTATGCTGGGATCGGTCAAAATCATGTCAGATACTAAAAAATATCTTTCAATTGGACACTTCACCAATATGTATGTTGTACGAGTGTCATTGTACATTTGTCAGTGTCTGATACGTAGCTTTACAGAAATAAAATTGTAAGTCTGTTAAAAACTAGAAACAATGAAATGAAATGAAAAAAAAAACCTCATTTAATGCAAAAACCATAATGCAGTCCACTGGTGTTTAACATATTAGTTCAAGTGAGATCATCACCAGGAATGAAAATCAAATACTACTACTTTATTGATATTCCCAGTTCATGTGTTTTGTATACAGAGAGAGTGTATACAGAGAGAGTATCGATAGTGTTTGATTTGTATTCCCCCTTCATGAGTGTACAGAGAGTATCAGAGACAACCAACGGGAAGCTTACAGTTAAAGTTGTTCCATTGTATATGCTGTCTGGATTATGGACAGTGAATTGCCAGTCTGGAACATACATTCCATAAAGTAAAGCCAAGTAAACAGCAAGTATGCAAGCCCCCACTAGCCTGAAATTTTAACAAATAAATGTTCAAAAGCATATAACATTAGCCATTAACCAGAACCATACTTTCACGGACTAACCAATGCCAATAGTACAACTTCAATATTGAGAGTTGGGTGGGTGGATCTCTATCTTGTGCACTTCTTGAAAATATCTCCACAAGTGCCACAACCAAATTATGCCAGAGCAATTCTCTAAATGGCTTCAAAAACATGTATTATTCCTTTTGTATCAGACTTATAGCTAAAAATATACTTCTTAATAGACAAATTAGGTGGAAAAATTCATAAAAAATCACACCTGAAGGAGCCCCACTTACCTTATCTGTTTCATGTCAAACACATATGTTAGATTGTCGGAGCATGAGACAAACCACCTTCATCATTGAGGCACCCATCATATCAAACAAGGCTGCCTTAGACTGTTACCAGAATTAGATTTGCTAAAATGAAATCTAGAATCAATTATTATGCACATTATAGAGATAACTAACTTACAAGACCGAGTATTATTTTCAGCAGGGAGTTGCTCAGTGAAGTGTAATGTAACATAAATAAGAAGTTCCTGATGCCTTTTCTCACCCCTCTTTGAACAGGGGAACTCTTTAGTTATGTCGAAAAAAGAGGGCAAAAGGAAAATGTGTGAGAAAACTAACCTTGAAGAAGGCAATCCCCCCGCCGCACCCCCCCGCAAAACCCAGAAGAGGAGTTTGAGTGGTTCTAACCAGACCCTTTTTTACAGCTACAAGTCTATTTGGTATTCTTGTAGAAAATGGAAGCATCAAACAGGGCTGGTTTGAATCAAAAAAGAAGAGAAACAAAAGACATAGAAAGTAACGCTTGGAAGCATTCATAGCCCCTATTTCCTCATTCGCAGCTAACCTTGAGAGCCAGAGGAATGGCCATCCCCACTATGAACAAAAGAAGGGGGCATGACAAAATCAGCAAGGTTGCAGCCATTCCATGGCGCATGGCCAATCATTGGCCATTTCCCTCCGGCATCATCAACCAAGATCATTAACTACATCACATAGAATCAGAACATGAAATCATGAGGATATACAAACCTAAAAAATAAGCAAAATGACATTCTTTTGGTTGGTTTCAAAGTGATACTTGATAACACTGAACGAAGGAAAAACAGCTCAAATATACTACTTCCAACATGAAACTCCTATATTTAATGTATATGGTCTTGTTTTTCTTAAATACTATTCAACTTTCTCACATGGATTTTGTTTTTCCTACATACATTCAATTTTGTCATTTTTATTTACATAGAACTTTTAACTCATACTTGAATTTCTAAACCCAAACTATATAATCTACCTATGTATGTCTAACATGAATGAAAAAAAGTAAAAATAAATAAATAAATAAATAACCAAGTTAAGTATTGGACAGTGACAATAACAGTTATCTATAATATACTGTAATCCCATAGCATTCTTTATATTTTATTTTGATCTATATAGCAATATTCATAGGCTTTCAGTTATAATCAGTTCATAACCTTTATAGCAATCTCTATAATAATACTAAAAACAGAGCTGAACTGCTAAATTAAGAAAGAAGAGAGAGGCACCGCAACAGTGAGACCGCGAAAGATGTCAAGCGAAGCGACACGCTTTGGTTTAGGCAGCTTTGTGTCTGAAACAGGAAGCACTTCGGAAACATTGAGGCTGTGTTCGCCTTTCGTTTCGGCCATGTTGTTTGTGAATTGTTTTACTCAAACTCCAACTTCAGTATGCTACTCTCAAGTTTCTTTCTTTAGTCTCTGGTAAATTCTGATTTAGTGCAGCATTCAGAATAATTACTATAAAATATTAATTGGATGAATGATGGTTAACACTTTTTTAAGGGTTTAAAATATGTTTTAGTCCCTAAATTATTGGTCGTTTCTGGTGTACGTCCCTCTTCAAAGTAAGGTACAATTTGGTTCTCATTCTTTTCGAAAGTTCTTTTTTAGTCCTCAAAATTTTGTTTAGTCCTCATTGTTGTAAATTGAGGACCAAAATTCGAGGACTCAAAACAATGAACGGTTTCGAAAAGAATGAGATCAAATTGTACCTACTTTGAAAGCGGGAGAAAACCAGAAAACGGCCAATAGTGTAGGGACTTAAAAACATATTTAACCCTTTGTTAATGATTGGTTAATGTTTGTAACACGTGTGTTTTATTAGATTTAAAATAAAAAATAAATTAATGAAAAATAACACTTGTATATGAAAAAATTTGTCTCAAAATATCTTTTCTTCATTATTAATTAAACATTAATTGCGTTAAGAAAAACAATCTACTACTCTGTGCATATACTTCATGATTTTTAAATCATTGTTATTAGTCAATTGAGAATATGAATCATATCATGTTACAGAAAAAGACAAAAAGGTTTATTCAGAATATTAAAATAATAATTATTACGAGTCTTTGGATTACATCCACTAAGGCTTCAAACTGTGAATTACAAAAAACTGTGCCACGGGAATCTTATCCACGTGATTACAGTGATAAGCTGTGCAAACACATTTAAGAGTTCAGATTCTTCTCTTAGTATTTTTTTACGGTCAGCATTAAATTAATGTTGATATATTAAATTTGTCTAATATATTTTAAAACATCAAAATCAGGTATTTTGAAAATATAAAACAGGACAACAAAAAATCTCACAGAAATCTAAATTTCACATTTAGTTAAATCAAACGTAATATGATTATAATATTGTATTTTCTACCAACATGTACAAAATATTATACTTTTTACATGTAATTATTGCATAGAGAATTAATTTGATTTTTTTCTTTACTAATTACTTAAGGTACGGAATGATTGAAAACAAGTATTTATTCAAGATGTGATGAAAATTTAATATTAGTTAATGATTTTCAAAAATTTACGTATATCAATTTTAAGAAATAGCTTTCAAATAGAAGGATATATTATTAGTTTGTTGGAACCAACTTATTATTATATTTATGCAAAAATATTGCAATAATTACAAATTTAAAATATATAATATCTTATGATAAAATGATTGAATTTTAGTTTTCTGATAAATTTTGAATTTCTTGAAACATCACTTTAAATAGAAATTTCATCGAATAATTAAAACAAGCTATCAGGCAAAAGCTAAAAGAAAAAAAGGCTACCACCATATGTATACTGGCATAATATCCCAAAAAAAACTGGATTCATTCAAGGAAGCTTAGACTTCGAGGAATTTCTCTAAAAAAAAGAAGTAGTACTTGAACAAAAAAAAAAATACAGATGAAACTGAAAATTTTAAGCATAAACATTGAGGTACTTATCTTTATTTGCACAAAAAACATTATTAAACTGGATATATGATTTATGTTAATTTGAATTAATTACATAATGCGCATTATTAAAAGTTATAATTTTCATATATACATAGACAACAGAAAGGATATCAATTCATAAGCTCATATATATAATTAGCTTTTGGAGAAATGGCTGAGTCGTTGATATATACCCTCAATCTTGAAAATTAGTATAATCCAAATACATCTTTTATGTTCGATTATTATATTCGATTGAATTTTATTTAGTACAACCAATTAAATTTGTGTTGAAAATATGATATTATAATCCATGTAAACATGTAATTATGTAATTTATTAAGTGATTACATTTTTATAGTAGTTGTTAAACCTATTTTTATGCTTGTATAATACTTGAAAGCATGTTTAATAATTTATGTTTGACTTTATGACTGTTTAAATTTTAAATAGTGAACTTGTATGCAAATGATAGAGAAGAAAGGTAAGATGCATTAGTAAAAAGATTGAAAGGAATGTGAAAAATATGAGAAACAAGGGAGAAGATTATGGGTGAGTTTCAGGGCCACTTATCTCACATCACTTGGATCATTTTTGCTTGCAACTTTTATCTGTCCCTATAAGAAACTTCCATGGTGATTGGTGAGGAAGCCCCACGTTTTGAAGAAGAAGATGTGAACATGCAAATACTGGATTTTCAAATCCCGTTTTAGACATTTTAAAAGTGGTGCACCCTGCATAAGAATGACGAACACCAATGGAGGTGCGACGCTTTTGAGGATGCGTCTTTGGGGTGCAGAGAAGAAGGTGTTCAATTTAGGATTTTAGGTTTTTGACTTTTCTTTGAGGGTTAAATGGGTATTATGAAAATTCATCGGGTAGGAAGAAAACAATGGGGGTGCAGGAAGAAAGCCCCTTGTCCACCTCATTTTTGGCGTATCAATGATGCAATGGACCAAAATGGATCAAACTCATTCACTGTGTCACTCCTAATCAAATTAGAACACTCTTTTTCCTGAAGTATATTGGTATAGTTAATCTAATCATATACCAGCCAGATAATGTCCTACAGGGTCACATAATCTACTGATAAGTAAATTGAAACTTATTTTATGCCCCTGTCTGTTTAGCAAAGCAAGTTTATTTGCAAACGTGCAATGCTAAACCCAAACATCAATTAATAGAACAGTATAAATGAATGCTATGTTCATCACACACGCAAAATGTAGTGGAAGCAACAAATTCCAAAGTTCTTTTGCATTTAGACACAAAATGATGGCAGATGGATCATGATTTAGAAAACATGGAAAATTTGCAGCCAAAGGTGGCTTTCAAAATTCTATTGTCAAAGCAAACAACAGAGTATGCAGATCAAGAAGTTTTGGAGACATGATCGTTTGTCATTGAGACTTGGTTCTTTGGTAGCAAATACAATGGAAGAAAAGAAGGCACGATGAATGCAATGCCAAGACCAAGTACAGCCAGTGCCACCACCCACCATGCTTCGTGGGGTAAGCCAAATAATAGTTCATCACATACTGCCGCATCAACAAAAAAGAATACAGAATTTAGCAAATAATGGAAGTGATCGTGATACTGGAGTGGAGTCTGCTCCAATAATCTAAAAAATATCAGATAAACTTTCGGGTAAAAGCTTGTAATGAAGCATAGCAAGTCACAATCAGATCAAGTATTAATATACTATGCAAAAAAGTTACCTATGTTGTAGATAATAAATTGCCTCTCCGGCACATGCTGTTTTGCAGGAAACCCTTCTGGCTCAACAGTTACTAATACTAGCTGGAATTCCTCCTGAATAAAGTCAATCAATAGCTTAAGCATGTATACACTTTTCAGAAATTAAGGAGTACAAGGCTTGATACTAATATTGGACCTGATTGTTGTTCTTAAAAATTAGCTTTTCAGTGTTGAGCAATCTCCTGTTATTGTTCAGCATCACATCCGACTTGTTTCTCTTCAGTTGTATGGAAAAGCTAGCAGGTATCT